ACCTCGGGGTGATGATTTCGGGTGCATTTTGGGGTGCCTTGTGTGCCTCCATAGCTCGGAATAAAGATTTGGGGCACAGTTTGGGGTGCCCTATGTGCCCCCACAGTCGGGGTGCTGATTTGGGGTGCCCTGTGTGCCCCCACGGCTCGGGATGGTGATTTTGGGGGCAGTTTGGGGTGTCCCGTGTCCCCTCATAGCTCAGGAGGGTCGTGGGTACAGTTTGGGGTGCCCTGTGTGCCCCCACACCTCGGGATGGTGATTTTGGGGGCAGTTTGGGGTGTCCTATGTGCCCCCATGGCTCGGGATGGTGATTTTGGGGTGTTGTTTGGGGTGTCCTGTGTCCCCTCATAGCTCAGGAGGGTGGTGGGTACAGTTTGGGATTCCCTATGTCCCCCCACAGCTCGGGGTGGTGATTTGGGGTGTCCTGTGTGCTCCCACACCTCGGGATGATGATTTTGGGGGCAGTTTGGGGTGCCCTGTGTCCCCCCATACTTCGGGATGATGATTTTGGGGGCAGTTTGGGGTGTCCTGTGTGCCCCCACAGTCGGGGTGATGATTTGGGGCACAGTTTGGGATTCCCTGTGTGCCCCCACACCTCGGGATGATGATTTTGGGGGCAGTTTGGGGTGTCCCGTGTCCCCCCATAGCTCAGAATGATTCGGGGCGCAGTTTGGGGCGCCCCCCACATCTCAGGAGGGGGGGTGGGTGCCCTCTGGGGTGCTTTGCGTCCCCTCCGGCCCCTCAGATCCCCCACCCCATATCTCGGGGATCCTCCCGCAGCTCGGGGGGCTGACTGGTGCATTTTGGGGTACCCGTAACCCCACAATTCCCTATTTTTTCCCCCTTTCCCAGCGCGGGCACAGCGGGAACGAGAGGGAAAATCGGGGTGCAAAGCCTGAGAGCCCCAAAACGGGCAGAGAGGCGGGCACAGGGCTGGCACCAGCGGACACGGGGGTGACGGGATTGGCACCTTCGCCAAGGCCCCCGCGAATGGGCCGCGAGCCCGGCCCTTATCGCAGCCCGGCCCTTATCGCAGCCCGGCCACCCCCGAGCCCCCGAGCGCGCCCCCCAGGCGCTGTCACCTCCGTGTCCCCCAGGCGGTGTCACCTCCGTGTCCCCACACACGCGGGGGGCGCAGCGCCCGCGCTCCCCCCGAGCCCTGCATGCGCTCCGGGTCCCCCCAGGCGCAGTTTGGGGTGTCCTGTGTGCCCCCCACACCGTGGAATGATGAGTTTGGGGTGTCCCTGTGTGCCCCCCAAATCTCGGGGTGATGATTTTGGGGTGTCCTGTATGACCCCACACCTCGGGGTGATGATTTTGGGGTGTCCCGGGTGCCCCCCAAATCTCGGGGTGATGATTTTGGGGTGTCCTGTGTGCCCCCACACCTCGGGGTGATGATTTTGGGGTGTCCCGTGTGCCCCCACATCTAGGGGTGATGATTTTGGGGTGTCCCGTGTGCCCCCACACCTCGGAATGATGATTTTGGGGTGTCCCGGGTGCCCCCCAAATCTCGGGGTGATGATTTTGGGGTGCCCTGTGTGCCCCCACACCATGGAATGATGATTTTGGGGTGTCCTGTGTGCCCCCACACCGTGGAATGATGATTTTGGGGTGTCCCGTGTATCCCCACACCATAGAATGATGATTTTGGGGTGTCCCGTGTGCCCCCACACCTCGGAATGATGATTTTGGGGTGTCCCGTGTGCCCCCACACCTCGGGGTGATGATTTTGGGGTGCCCTGTGTATCCCCACACCATAGAATGATGATTTTGGGGTGTCCTGGGTGCCCCCACACCTCGGGGTGATGATTTTGGGGTGTCCCGTGTGCCCCCACACCGTGGAATGATGATTTTGGGGTGCCCTGTGTAGTCCCACACCGTGGAATGATGATTTTGGGGTGCCCTGTGTGCCCCCCACACCGTGGAATGATGATTTTGGGGTGTCCCGGGTGCCCCCACAGCTCGGGGTGATGATTTTGGGGTGTCCTGTGTATCCCCACACCATAGAATGATGATTTTGGGGTGTCCTGTATGCCCCCACACCATAGAATGATGATTTTGGGGTGTCCCGTGTGCCCCCACAGCTCGGAATGATGATTTTGGGGTGTCCTGGGTGCCCCCACACCTCGGGGTGATGATTTTGGGGACGCTTTGGGTTTCTCTGTGCCCCCATAGGTCGGAATGATGGTTTTGGGTGCAGTTTGGGGTTCTCTGTGTGCCCCACGGCTCGGGGTGGTGATTTGGGGTTCTCTGTGTGCCCCACAGCCCAGGTTGGGAGTTTGGGGTTCTCTGTGTGCCCCCACAGCTCAGTTTAGGAGTTTGGGGTTCTCTGTGTGCCCCCACAGCTCAGGGTGCTGATTTGGGGTTCTCTGTGTGCCCCCACAGCTCAGGGTGGTGATTTGGGGTGCCCTGTGTCCCCTCGCACCCCGAGGTGCCGATTTGTAGACCCACCCCCCCCATATTCACCCTTCCCGAGCCATTCCCGCTCTGTCCGTGCCTCAGTTTCCCCTCCTGTGCATCGGGACACTCTTGGGGTGACACATCCACAATGGGGTGACCCCAAATTTTCCCCCCGGTGCTCGGGGACCGGCGGGGCAGCCGCATCCACCCGCCCCAATCCTCCCCGCGTGTTTGCCCAGCGGATTTGGGAGCAAATATTGACCCCGCTCCGGGACACCATTACTGTCCCCATCCGTCCCCCGCTGCGCGACATGTCGCGATAATCCCCCCCCAGCGCCACCACGGGGGTCCCGGACGGCGGCTCTGCCCCCCCAAAACACCCGTCTGGCAGTTCGGGGGGGTCCCACGCACCCCCAAATTCCTGGAGGGGCTGGAGGTGCCGGGTGAGCGCTCGGGGGTGCCCCGGGGCTTTTGGGGTTTGGGGGTTTGGGGGTTGGGGTTTGGGGGGTTTGGGGTTTTGGGGGGTTTGGGGGTTGGGGTTTTGGGGGGTTTGGGGTTTTGGGGTTTTGGGATTTTGGGGGTTTGGGGTTTGGGGTTTTGGGGTTTGGGGTTTTGGGCGGTTTGGGGGTTTGGGGGGTTTGGGGGTTTGAGGTTTTGGGGTTTGGGGTTTTGGAGGTTTGGGGTTTTGGGGGTTTTGGGGTTTTGGGTTTGGGGTTTTACGGTTTGGGGGTTGGGGGTTTGGAGTTTTGGGGTTTGGGGTTTTGGGTTTTTGGGGTTTTGGGGTTTTGCGGTTTGGGGTTTTGAGGGTTTGGGGTTTGGGGGGTTTGGGGTGTTTGGGGTGTTTGGGGTTTTGGGTTTGGGGTTTTGGGGTTTGGGGTCTTTGGGGGGTGTAGGGGGCTGTGTCCGGGGCGGGACATGGGGGTGTGTGGGCAGTAGGGTGGGGGTGTCAGTGTGGGGGTGTCCCTGAGTGGGGGGCTCAGCCCAGAGCCCCCCCTCCGCAGCCCAAAGCGGGGTCACCCCAGCGCCGCCCGCAGTGGGGACAGTCCAGGGCACCCCAAATTTCTCTTCAGTGTCCCAAATCTGCCCCCAAACCCCAAAAAGCGTCCGTGAGTGGGGGTGTCCCTGGGGGATGCCCGTGGGGGGGCTCTGGAGGTGGGGGTGTATCTGTGGGTGGGAGGGGGTGTCCGTGTTTGGGGGTGTCCGTGTTTGGGGGTGTCCGTGTTTGGGGGGTGTCAGGGATTGCGGGTGTCCCTGTTTGGGGGGGTGTTCGGGGGTGGGGATATCTGGGGTTGGGGCTGTCGAGGATTTGGGGTGTCTGGGATTGAGGGGTGTCTGGAAATGGGGGTGTCGGGGATTTGGGGTGTCGGGGATTGAGGGGTGGGGGTTTCTTTGGGAGGGGTGCGTCTGTGATTGGGGGGTGTCTTGTTTTGGGGGTGTCAGGGATTCAGGGGTGTCCATTACTGAGGGGTGTCCATGCTTGTGGGGTGTCTTGGATTGGGGGCGTCCATGACTGAGGGGTGTCCGTGGTTGTGGGGTGTGAGTGATTAAAGGGTGTGGTGTTTGTGGGGTGTCCGTGATTCGGGGGTGTCAGCGGGTGTGTGTTTGTGTGGCTGGGGGTGTCCGTGACCAGGGGGTATCCATGTTTGTGGGGTGTCTTGTTTTGGGGGTGTCCATGGGTGTGGGGTGTCTTGGGTTAAGGGGTGTCCGTGTTTGTGGGGTATCTGTGGGTGGGGGATACCCCTGGTTTTGGGGGTGTCTTGGGTCAGTGACGGTGCCGGTTTTGGGGGTGTCTCGGCTCAGTGACAGCGCCGGTTTTGGGGGTGTCTTGGGTCGGTGACAGCGCCGGTTTTGGGGTGTCTTGGGTCAGTGACAGCCTTGGTTTTAGGGGTGTCTTGGGTTGGTGACAGTGCCGGTTTTGGGGGGTGTCTTGGGTCAGTGACGGTGCCGGTTTTGGGGGCACCTTGGGTCGGTGACAGCCCTGTTTTTGGGGTGTCTTGGGTTGGTGACAGCCTTGGTTTTAGGGGTGTCTTGGGTCGGTGACAGCGCCGGTTTTGGGGGTGTCTCGGCTGAGTGACAGCCCTGTTTTTGGGGTGTCTTGGGTCGGTGACAGCCCTGTTTTTGGGGGTACCTTGATCAGTGACAGCCCTATTTTTGGGGTGTCTTGTCTCGGTGACAGTGCTATGGCCGGCGGCGGGCCAGGTTCCGCAGCGGGGGTATAGCTCAGTGGTAGAGCATTTGACTGCAGATCAAGAGGTCCCCGGTTCAAATCCGGGTGCCCCCTTGTTTTCCTCGCTTTTTGGAGGGTTCCCCACTCTGCTTTTTTCACCCCTTTTATTTGCCCCCCAAACACCCCAGCAGCGAGGGGGTGGAGGAACATTCCCGAAGCGCCTGAGCGCACGAGGGTCCTGCTGCCGGTTCTGGCTCCATCCCTTCCTTTCCTTTCCCTTTTCCCTTCCCATCCCAGCCCTTCCCAATTCCATCCCCACCCCCGGGCCCGCCCCCGGCCCCGCCCGGCTCCGGCTCCGGCTCCGGCTCCGCTCGGTGCGCGGCTCCCGGGGGTCCCGGCCCATGGCGGGGCGCTGAGCCCCCCGACCCCCACCATGCTCTGGGGGGGCTTCCTCCTGCTCTGCCTGCTCCAAGGGGCGCTGGGTGCAGGTACGGGGGCCTGGGGGGGCTGGGGGTGCAGGGGGGTCCCGGCCGTGCCCTGGGGGTCTGTCCGGGGGTCTGTGTGTCCTCCCTCTGCTGTGCTTTGGGGGTGTCTCCGTTCCCACGGGTGGGGGTCCCGCTCCCCTCCCGCCCCAAAATCTCCGCGGCCAAATGGAGGTGCCCGGACCCCCCATCTGTGCTGGGCAGCGCTGGGATAGAGCGGGGAGGGGGCTGTCCCCGCTGCTGGGGGGGTCCCCACGCAGGATTCCCCCCTCCCCTCCCCGCCTGGCACGGCTGGCGCTGTCCTGGCTGGGGCTGAGATTTTGGGGAGCCTTCGGGGTGGGGGGGGGGATCTCTGCTCTCTGGGACACCCCCAGCCCTGCCCGCACTGTGCCCCCTGTGCCCCCCAGGGATGGCCAATGTGACCCCCCCGGCACGGAACCCCCCCCTCTGCCCCTGCGTCCAGCCCAACCCCGCTCCCCCCGTGCCTCAGTTTCCCCTCCCGGAGACCTGGCAGCAGAACCCAGCCCCGGGAGCTCATTAGGCAGCAATTAGCAATTAAATCCCATGGGGTGGCGGTGGGACCCCGCTCCCCCGGGCTGGGGGGGCTGTGCCGTGTCCCCGTTTGGGGACAGACGTCCCGGCTGTGTCCCCGCCGTGGGCAAGCTGCCGTCCCCACCGCCCCCGCCCGCGCCGCGCTGCCAGAACCCTCCTGATTCTCGGCAGATTTGGTCCCAAATGCCTTTTTTATCCTCCCCCCCCCCTCCCCAGCCGTGTTTCCGGCCTCCGCGGGGCTGGGGCGATGCGTGCAGGGCGGGATGGAGGCGGATTTTGGCTCCTTGGGACCTGCCCTGACACCCGGAGCCCGTCCCAGCCTGGGATGCTTGGGGACATCGAGGGCACGGCCACGCTGGTGTCACACTGGTGTCACACCGGTGTCACACTGGTGTCACTCCACCCTCGCTGGGGTCGCGCTGGTGCTTGGGGAGCTGCCACTGCCATTTGCGGGTGCTGTCCCCAGCTGTCCCCTCCTGGCCGCGGTCGCTGTCACCTGTCCCTGTCCCTGCCGCCACCCCGGCCCCTTCCCCGCCTCTCCATCCCTTCTCACGGAGGCTCAGCCGCCTCAAACTCGTGTCACAGCCTTGCTGGGGGACCCGACTGCCCCCGGGGGTGCCACTGACCCCTCCCCGTGTGTCCCCAGGACGCCCCCCCGGCAGCGAGGGACGGAGCGCCCGGGGCGCGGCCGAGGGGACCCGCATCAGCCAGGACCTGGGGGGCGGCAGCCTGGCCATCGACACCCTGCCCGCCAACGAGACCCGCATCGTGGTGAGTGTCCCCGTGTCCATGGCCGGATCCATGGCCGGACCCCCGCCCGGATCCCTGCCCCGATCCCTGCCCCGATCCCTGCCCCGGATCCCGCCCGGACCTGCTCCAGAGCTGTCCCCAGTGCGGCTCCGGTTCCGCTGTGGGGATGGATCCCACATCCCACAGGGGATAATTACACCCCAGAGTGGACAATTACATCCCAGAGGGGATAATTACACCCCAGAGAGGATAATTACACCCATAGGGGATAATTACAGCCCTGGGATCGCCCGGACCCCCGCCCGGATCTGTGCCCCGACCCCCGGCCCGGACCCGCTCCCGATCCCCTCCCACCCCCAGAGCTGTCCCCAGTCCGGCCCCAGTTCCGTGTGGGGCTGGATCCCACATCCCACAGGGGATAATTACACCCCAGAGTGGACAATTACATCCCAGAGGGGATAATTACACCCCAGAGTGGATAATTCCACCCATAGGGGATAATTACGGCCCGGGGATCGCCCCGACCCCCGCCCGGACCCACTCCCGATCCCAACCCGGGCCCGATCCCGATCCCCTCCCACCCCCAGAGCTGTCCCCAGTCCAGCCCCAGTTCCGTGTGGGGCTGGATCCCACACCCCACAAGGGATAAATACACTCCAGAGTGGATAATTACACCCATAGGGGATAATTACAACCCCAGGATCGCCCCGACCCCCCGCCCAGATCCCAGCCCCGGCCTGGATCTGTGCTCCGGACCCGCTCTTGTCTCCAGTCCAGTTCCAGTTCCGCTGTGGGGCTGGATCCCACATCCCACAGGGGATAATTACACCCCAGGGTGGCTAATTACACCCCAGGGTGGCTAATTACACCCAGAGTGGCTAATTACAGCCCCGGGATCCCTCCCAGCCCTGCCCGTGCTTCGCGGTGCGGGTGACACACGGGGACAACGCCGCTGTCCCCCGGTGTCGAGGGGGCTCCTCCGTTCAGTGTCACCTTGTGGGACACCTCCCCCGGCTCTCCCGGCCTAATTAGCCGCCCTCAATTAGCTCCGGGTTATTTGTGGCAGCCGCGGGAGTTCCCTGTGCTCTCAGAGGGGGGTGGGAGGGGTTTTTGGAGGACGGTGACACGTCCCGCTGGTTTTGGTGGCACTCAGGGGACAAAGTGGCTTCTTTCACTCTGCTCCAGCTCATCCTTCAGGGATGGAGAGCAACCATGAAAAATCCCAGTGTGGAAATGTTTAAAAATACCCCCAAACCACCAGTGACGTTTTGGAGATGCTGGGGAACCACAGGGAGGGTGTGATGGTGCTTGAGGAGGGAAAAGCAGCAATTTCCTGGGAAATTTTTGGGATCTGCCCATGGATTGGGGCCACGGACAAGGTCACAGGTGCATCTCGCACTGTGCAAGGCCTGGAAGGGTTTTTCCCCTGTCTCCTCCCAAAATACCCCAAGTTTGGGGGTATTTGAATAATATTGAGTGATAAAATAAATAATAAAATCCCACCAAACTTGGGGCCATTTTATTATTTATTTCATTATTTAATATTATTGAAATTTATTATTTAATGAACAATTTTTTCCACTTTTCTCCAAAAAACATTTTCTCCCAAACCAATTAAAAAAACACCAAACAATTAAACTACTTTCTAAAAAAACCCTCCAAAAATTCTCTCCCACATTTACCCTAAACCAAACTAAATACATTATCCCGGATTTTCCCTGGGTTTTTCCTGGGTCTATCCCGGATTTTTTTTGGGTTTGTCCTGGATTTATCCTGGGTTTTTCCTGGGTTTATCCCGGATTTTTCCAGGATTTTTCCCAGATTTTTTCTGTATTTGTCCCGGTTTTCCCTGGATTTATCCCAGGTTTTTCCCTGGATTTTCCCAGATTTTTTCTGGATTTATCCCGAATTTTCCCTGGATTTATCCCAGATTTTTTTCTGGATTTATCCCAGATTTTTTCTGTATTTATCCCGGTTTTTCCCTGGATTTGTCCCAGGTTTTTCCCTGGATTTATCCCAAATTTTCCCTGGATTATCCCAGGTTTTCCCCTGGATTTTCCCTAGATTTTTCCTGGGTTTCTCTCAGATTTTCCCTGGATTTTTTCCTGGATTTATCCCTACTTTTCCACACTGGATTTATCCTGAATTTATCCCGGATTTTTCCCGGATTTATCCCAGATTTATCCCACATTTTGCCCTGATTTTCCCTGGATTTGTCCCTGCTTGGTGTCGGGCGCCCTCCCACCCCGGGGTCACCTGGTGCCACCCTGTCCCCGTGTCCCCTGTCCCCGCAGGAGGACAACCACAGCTATTACGTGTCGCGCTTCTACGGCCCGGGGGACGCGCGGCGCCGCGGGCTCTGGGTGGACCTGGCGGCCGCCAACGGGAGCCACGTCAGGGTGCACGGGATCCTCTCCAACACGCACCGGCAGGCCTCGGTGAGCCCCGGCTGCCCCTGGGTGTCCCCGTGTCCCCTCGGTGAGCCCCGGGTGCCCCTGGGTGTCCCCGTGTCCCCTCGGTGAGCCCCGGCTGCCCCTGGGTGTCCCTGTGTCCCCTCGGTGAGCCCCGGGTGTCCCTGGGTGTCCCTGTGTCCCCTCGGTGAGCCCCGGGTGCCCCTGGGTGTCCCTGTGTCCCCTGGGTGAGCCCCGGGTGTCCCCTGTCCCCTGGGTGAGCCCTGTGCTGTCCCGTGTCCCCACACCCAGCGGGGGTGGCCCAGGGAGCCCCATGCTGTCCCTGTGTCCCCTGGGTGAGCCCTGGGTGTCCCTGTGTCCCCTCGGTCAGCCCTGGGTGTCCCCATGTCCCCTCGGTGAGCCCTGGGTGTCCTCGTGTCCCCTGGGTGAGCCCTGTGCTGTCCCGTGTCTCCTGGGTGAGCCCCGGGTGTCCCCGTGTCCCCTTGGTGAGCCTCAGGTGTCCCCTGTCCCCTGCGTGAGCCCTGGGTGAGCCCCCCACTGTCCTTGTGTCCCGTGGTGAGCCCCAGGTGTCCCTGTGTCCCCTCAGTCAGCCCGGGGTGTCCCCTGTCCCCTGGGTGAGCCCTGCACTGTCCCCAAGTCCCCACACCCACCGGGGGTGGCCCAGGGAGCCCCACGCTGTGCCTGTGTCCCATGGGTGAGCCCTGGGTGTCCCTGTGTCCCCTTGGTCAGCCCTGGGTGTCCCCATGTCCCCGTATCCCCTGGGTGAGCCCTGGGTGTCCCCTGTGTCCCCTCGGTCAGCCCCGGGTGTCCCCGTGTCCCCTGGGTGAGCCCTGAGTGTCCCTGTGTCCCCTGGGTGAGCCCTGCGCTGTCCCGTGTCCCCACACCCAGCAGGGTTGGCCCAGGGAGCCCCGGGTGTCCCTGTGTCCCCTGGGTGAGCCCCGGGTGTCCCCAGGGTGAGCCCCGGGTGTCCCCGTGTCCCCAGGGGCACTGGGGAGCCCTGTGACAGGTTGGGGAAGTTTCAGAGTTTAGGAAATGTTTGGGGCCTCCTGCTCATCCCAGGGACGAAGGAACCTGCAGGGTCCCTCTCTCTCCCTCCCGTCTCTCCCCGTTCCCAGAGTTTTCCCAAGGGATGATTGTGTCTCTCCCTGGCTCCATCCCACAGAGGATTGTCCTGTCCTTTGACTTCCCCTTCTACGGCCACCTCCTGCGGCAGGTCACCATCGCCACCGGCGGTGAGCGGGGCCAGACACGGCACCCATGGGGTGGGATGGACGTGAAGGGATGGGATCCATGGGATGGACGGGATGGGATGGGATCCATGGGATGGACAGGATGGGATCCATGGGATCAATGGGATGGGATGGTCAGGATGGGATCCATGGGATCCATGGGATGGGATGGTCAGGATGGGATCCATGGGATCAATGGGATGGTATTCATGGGATGGACAGGATAGGATGGGATCAATGGGATCCATGGGATGGGATCCATGGGATGGGATCTATGGGTTCCATGGGATGGGATGGGACGGGATCCATGGGACAGGATCCATGGGATGGGATGGACAGGATGGGATGGGATCAATGGGATCCATGGGATGGGATCCATGGGATGGGATCCACGGGACAGGATCCATGGGATCTATGGGTTCCATGGGATGGGATCCACGGGACAGGATCCATGGGATGGACAGGATTGGATAGGAAGGGATGGGACAGGATGGGATGGACAGGATGGTATGGGATCCAAGGAATCCATGGGATGGGATCCATGGGATGGGATGGGATCCATGGGATGGGATGGGATCCACGGGACGGGATCAATGGGATGGGATGGGATCCATGGGATGGGATGGGGTCCATGGGACGGGATCGATGGGATGGGATGGGGTCCATGGGATGGGATGGAATCCACGGGACGGGATCGATGGGATGGGATGGGATCCATGGGACGGGATCGATGGGATGGGATGGGGTCCATGGGATGGGATGGGATCGATGGGATGGGATCCACGGGACGGGATCGATGGGATGGGATGGGGTCCACAGGATGGGATGGGATCCACGGGATGGGATCAATGGGATGGGATGGGGTCCATGGGATGGGATGGACAGGACTGGACAGGATGGGCTGCCATGTGATGCCCACAGCGGGGCCTGGACACAGCTCTGGTGCTGGCTCTACCCTCATGCCCCATCCCTGAGCCCCAGGGAGCTCAGAGATCGGGGTCCAGCCCTTCCAACCCCTCCCTGCACCCCAAATCTCCTCGGGGAGTCAGCAGCTGCTGCTCCTGGCGGACACAGCGGGGTCAGAGGGGAAATCCAGAGGGGCATAAAGAGGGATGGGTGAGGCAGGAAGGAGGGAGGTGAGCTTCACCCTCTGCCCGCTCAGGTTTTATCTTCACGGGGGACGTCATCCACCGCATGCTCACGGCCACCCAGTACATCGCGCCCCTCATGGCCAACTTCAACCCCAGCTACTCCCGAAATTCCACCGTGCAGTACCTGGACAACGGTGAGAGCAGCTCCCCCTGCTCCTCCCTCAGCCAGGTGGGCTGGAGACCCTCCTGTGTCAGCTCTGCTCAGCCCAGCCCTGTCACCTGTGACCCTGTTCACAGGGGTCTGAGGATGAGGGAAGAGACGAGGATCTGACTCCACGTTTCAGAAGGCTTGATTTATTATTTTATGTTATATATTCCATTAAAACTATACTAAAAGAATAGAAGAAAAGGTTTCATCAGAAGGCTGGCTAAGAATAGATTAAAAAAGAATGATAACAAAGGCTTGTGGCTTAGACACTCTGTCTGAGCCAGCTGACTGTGATTGGCCATTAATTAGAAACAACTAACATGAGACCAATCCCAGATGCACCTGTTGCATTCCACAGCAGCAGATAATCAATGTTTACATTATGTTCCTGAGGCCTCTCAGCTTCTCAAGAGGAAAAATCTTAAAGAAAAGATTTTTCATAGAAGATGTCTATGACAGTCACCCCTGAGGCAGGAACGGATCAGAAGATCCCTCTCTCCCCATCCCTCTCTCCCCATCCCTCTCTCCCCATCCCTCTCTCTCCCCATCCCTCTCTCTCCCCATCCCTCTCTCTCCCCATCCCTCTCTCCCCATCCCTCTCTCTCCCCATCCCTCTCTCTCCCCATCCCTCTCTCTCCCCATCCCTCTCTCTCCCCATCCCTCTCTCTCCCCATCCCTCTCTCTCCCCATCCCTCTCTCTCCCCATCCCTCTCTCCCCATCCCTCTCTCTCCCCATCCCTCTCTCTCCCCATCCCTCTCTCTCCCCATCCCTCTCTCTCCATCCCTCTCTCTCCCCATCCCTCTCTCTCCCCATCCCTCTCTCTCCCCATCCCTCTCTCTCCCCATCCCTCTCTCTCCCCATCCCTCTCTCTCCCCATCCCTCTCTCTCCATCCCTCTCTCTCCCCATCCCTCTCTCTCCCCATCCCTCTCTCTCCCCATCCCTCTCTCTCCCCACCCTCTCTCCCCATCCCGTTTTGCTCTGCTCCCAGTGGATGCTGCAGGTTGGGTGGTGGAGGTTGGATGGAGCAGGGGCAGAGGGAAGGGCTGAGCAGCTGTGGTCGCCCCCAGGGACGGTGTTTGTGGTGCAGTGGGACAAGGTTTACCTGCAGGGCAAGGAGGACATGGGCAGCTTCACCTTCCAGGCCGCGCTGCACAGCAGCGGGAGGATCGTCTTCGGCTACAAGGAGGTGAGGGGACGGGGCAGGAGGGTCCCTGTGGGGCTGGGAGTGGCTTGGACATCCCTGGATGTGTCCCACCCTGTGTCCCACCCTGTGTCCCCCCCTGTGTCCTGGCAGATCCCAGTGCCAGTCCTGCAGATCAGCGCCAGCCAGCACCCGGTGAAGGCCGGGCTCTCCGACGCCTTCATGGTGCTCAACCCCGCTCCTGATGTGCCTGGTGAGTCCCTGGGGCAGCTGATCCCACAGGGAGAGGGCTGGGGTCCTCATCTTGGGGGATTTCAGGGTGGGAGGATGCCCTGCTTGGATTCCCAGCGAGTGTGAGGAGGGCTGTGGGGTTTGCCTGCCCCTCGTGTTCCCTGTGACCCTGTTTGGGATCCCTTTTTGGGATCCCTTTTTGGGATCCCTTTTTGGGATCCCTTTTTGGGGTCTCTCTTGGGATCCCTTTTTGAGATCTCCTTTTGGGATCCCCTTTTGGGATCCCCTTTTGGGATTCCCTTTTGGAATCCCCTTTTGGCATCCCTTTTTGGGATCCCCTTTTGGGATCTCTTTTTGAGATCTCTTTTTTGGGATCTCTTTTTTGGCATCCCTTTTTGGCATCCCCTTTTGGGATCCCTATCTGCGATCCCTTTCTGGGATCCCCTTTTTGGGCTGCGTCTCCCCATAGCCTCATGCTTAGGCTGGAGCTTTTCCCAGTCCACAACCTCCAGGAGCTTGTCCCTGATTCCCAGCGGGTGAGGAAGAGGAGGGAAATCCAATCCTTCCTCAGTTCCAAAGGGGTGAGGCAGGAGGAGATTTCTGGGGGGAAGCGGCTGCAGGAGCCTTGGGAGCTCGGGGTGGTGCCTTGGGAAGGCTGAGCTGGAACTGAGGCCAGAATTACAGAATAAAGCAGGGATTTATTCAAAGCATCTCCTCCATGGATCCACCTTGGGCAGCACCAGAGCCCGGCCAGGGCTGCACCCAAGATGAACCAAAATGGTCACAAAATGAACCCAAAATGAACCAAAACAGTCACAAAACGAACCCAAAAGGTCCCAAAATGCACGACCACTCACGAGGTCTCACTTTTATAAGCTCTGCTCCATTTGCATCTTGCAGTTCATTGTCCCATTCCAGCTTTAGCCCCTGCAGTCCCATCCTTGTTTTTCTCTCTCCAGCCCACGGTGTTTGTGCTCTTGGGCTGAGATTTGGATCATTTGTCCTTGGTGCCCAGCTGGAGCAGGAATTGTTTTGTCTCCCTGCTCTGTGCACAGAGCTCAGCATCCCCTAATAAAGCCCAGAGCCACCCACTAAAGCAGCACAGAATCTAAAAATTATAAAAACTAAAACCTGAGGCATCAGGGGGAGTGAGTCAGAGCCCAGTGATGTTTGTTTGGAGCTGTTTGGGAGCGGTTCAGGGCTGGAGCCCGGCCTGGGCTGGGATGGGATGGGGTGGGATGGGATGGGATGGGATGGGCTGGGATGGGATGGGATGGGATGGGATGGGATGGGATGGGATGGGATGGGAAGGGATGGGATGGGCAGGGATGGGATGGGATGGGCAGGGCAGGGCGGGCTCCGAGCCCCTCCTGTGCCCTGGCACCTCCCAGCCTGTTGGATGAAGTTTTTTTCTGGCCCAGAGTTGGGACAACTGAGAGGGATTTACAAAACTTTTATTCTGTTTTCACTCTGGTGTGAAGGGTGAGACAATACAGATGTCATCATTAACTCCATCACAATCAGAAGCCAATTATTTCCTAATTCCAACACGTTATAAGTGTCTTTTTGGCTTTTTTTCAGTTTTCCCCTTAATGGACAGGTGACACAATAACCCCAACCCACCCTCACTCCTGGCAGCTTTTGAGAATTTCCTACAAATTCCTACAAATCCCAGCCCAGCCCTCCTGCAAGGGCACAACCCCACACCTGGGGCCCCCTTTCCCTTTCAGCAGCTTCCCCAGAGCCCGGCCCAGCCCTGGGCAGGGCGGTTTAAGCCTTGCAGGGGTTTTAAGCCCGGTTTAAAGCCCAGGCTGTGTCTCAGAGTCGCGGCGCCGCACGATCTATGAGTACCACCGTGTGGAGCTGGACACCAGCAGGATCAGCAGCCTGTCCGCCGTGGAGTTCACCCCACTGCCCAGTGAGTGCCCCAAATGCCCCCACAAACCCCAGCAGCCTCTGAACTCCAGCCTGAGCAGGCGGCCAAGGCAGGCCTGGGGGTGCTGGGGGGCGATGTCGCCCATCTCCCGGGGTTTGGGGTCTGGGGGGCCGGGGAGGGAGGGGGTGATGGCAGCAGGGAGCAGCTCAGCACCACCCTGGGGAGCAGCTCAGCACCACCCTGGGGTCTCCAGCCCATCCTGGGGTCCCTGGGGAGCAGCTCAGCCCATCCTGGGGTCCCCAGCTCAGCCCCACCCTGGGGTCTCCAGCCCATCCTGGGGTCCCCAGCTCAGCCTGTCCTGGGGTCTTCAGACCATCCTGGGGTTCCTGGGGAGGCGCTCACCCCATCCTGGGTCCCCAGCTCAGCCCCACCCTGGGGTCTCCAGCCCATCCTAAGGTCCCCAGGCGTCAGCTCAGCCCATCCTGGGGTCCCTGGGGTGCAGTTCACCCCATCCTGGGGTCTCCAGCCCATCCTGGGGTCCCTGGGGAGGAGCTCAGCCCCACCCTGGGGTCTCCAGCCCATCCTGGGGTTCCTGGGGTCCCCAGCTCACCCCTACCCTGGGGTCTCCAGGGATCAGCTCACCCCATCCTGGGGTCCCTGGGGAGGCGCTCACTCCATTCTGGAGTCCCCAGCTCAGCCCATCCTGGGGTCTCCAGCCCATCCTGGGGTCCCTGGGGTGCAGCTCAGCCCCACCCTGGGGTCTCCAGCCCATCCTAAGGTCCCCAGGCATCAGCTCACCCCATCCTGGGGTTCCTGGGGAGGTGCTCACACTGTCCTGGGGTCCCCAGCTCACCCCACCCTGTGGTCTCCAGCCTGTCCTGGGGTCCCTGGGGTGCAGCTCGCCCCATCCTGGGGTCCCTGGGGTGCAGCTCAGCCCCATCCTGGGGTCTCCAGCCCATTCTGGGGTCCCTGGGGTGCAGCTCAGCCCAGCCTGGGGTCCCCAGCTCAGCCCATCCTGGGGTCCCCAGCTCAGCCCATCCTGGGGTCCCCAGCTCAGCCCATCCTGGGGTCTCCAGCCCATCCTGGGGCCCCCAGGGAGCAGCTGGCCCTGTCCTGAGCGATGCTTGGGAAATTTGAGTTTCTCTCTGTGGCCAAGGAGCTGCCCCAGCCTGGCTGGAGCCTCTCCCCTCTCTCCTCTCTCTGTTTTTTGCAGCCTGCCTGCAGCACCAGAGCTGTGAAACGTGCCTGAGCTCAGAACTGACCTTCAACTGCAGCTGGTGCCACGTCCTGCAGAGGTGCTGCCACCATCCCCTCCCCTGCCTGCTGCCCCGTGCCCTTCCCATCCTTTTTTTGGGATAATTTCTCCTTTTTTTTGTTGTTTTTCGGGTGCTGAGGTGCTGCTCTTGGCCCCACACTTGTGCTTCAGCCGTGACCTGATCTCCAATTCCAAGCCACTCCAAGGCTGCATTTCCTGGGGTTTTTTTACTCCTGGAACAAGCTGGGACCTGAGGCAGGGGCTCAGATTTTTGTCAGGGAGCTTAAAAATGAGGGAAATTTCTCCTGCCTTGGGCTGGGATCAGTGGGAGTGCAGGGCAGGGAGGGGACAGCGTTGGGGACACCCCTCAGTTGTGGGACAGCCCCTGCCCGTCAGGAATGGGGCCAGCAAAGCCCCATTTGTGTGGGGGTGGAATTTTCTGATTTTTTGGGCTTGGCTGGAGGACGTGGAGCCGTCCCTGCTCTCCTCCAGCTCGGGCAGGGCTGTGCAGAGCAGATTTAATGAGATTGAGCCGGGCTTTATTGGGAGCTGGTGGCAGGGGAGGGGACCCAGTGACACAGATCCTGTGCCGTGCAAACCCCGCTCTGCTGAGGGCGCCTGCCACCCCCTGCCCGTCCCCTGAGCCACCCCAAAGCAGCTCTGGGCTCCCTGTGACGCCCCCGAGCAGGGTGGTGGCACTTGGCAGCCACGGTGGCTCCGTGGCAAGGGGACGTTCTTGTCCTGGTGTGGCTTTGGTGACAAAACCGGAGCCTGGGTTCGCTTTGGGCTGAGCTTTGCTCAGACCTTTCCTTGTTCCCAGTTCCAGGCTTTGGCAAAGGGGATTTTGCCAGATCCTGGAATGGTTTGGGCTGGAAGCCCATTCCAGAGTCCCTCCAGGGCCACCCCAGGGCCACCAGGGCCACCAGGGCCACCTCCCCCTGTGCCAGGGTGCGCCAGGGGCACTGCCAGGGACACAGGGGCGGCCACGGCTGTGCTGGGAGCCCCATCCCAGCCCTTTCCCACCCCCTTTAACCCTTTCCCACTTCCTTTGACCCTTTCCCACCTCCTTTAACCCTTTCCCACTTCCTTTAACACTTTCTCACCCTCCTCTAACCCTTTTTCATCCTGTTTAACCCTATTTCACCCCCTTTAACCCTTTCTCACCATCCTTTAGCACTTTTCCATCCTCTTTAACCCTTTCTCGCCCTCTTTAACCCATTTTCACCCTCCTTTAACCCTTTCTCACCCTCCTTTAACCATTTTCCACCCTCTTTCACCCCTTTTCACCCTCTTTACCCCCTTTTCACCCTCATGTAACCCTTTCTCACCCTCTTTAACCCTATTTCACCCTCTTTGATCCTTTTCCACCCCCCCTTTAATCCCTTTTCACCCTCTTTAACCCTTTTTCACCCTTTTAAACCCTTTTCCACCCCCTTTAACCCCTTTCCACCCTCCTTTAACCCTTTCTCACCCTCTTTAACCCTTTCTCACCCAGCTGCTGTTGCTGGGGTTCACTCCTGTCCCCCCTGGCTGCCAGCCCCACATCCCCGGGGACAGCTCAGCTTCCCAGTGGGAATCCCAGCGGGCAGGAATGTTCTGGAAATGCGGAGCTGGAGCAGGAGGGTCAGCCCTGTCAACCCCTGGCTTCCAGAAAATGAGAGGAAAATGGTTCTGTTTCTCCAAAGCATCCAGATCTGGTGCTGCAGATCCTCCCCAAAGAGCTCCAGCCTTGGAGCTGACATCCCAACCTCGTGATTCCAACCCCAGCTCCCTCCTAAATAACAAAATCTGTATTTTTATTTATTTATTTATTTATTTTAACCTCTTCTGAGCCCATAATTGTGACAGGAACCGGACCCGAAGCAAAGATCTCAGACGTTTCTTTGTGGTTTCTCCTTTCCCTGGTGGTGGGCAAATGGATTTTTGCAGGGATTGTTCGGGGTTTGAGCCTTTCCAAAGGTCAGAGCCGGGCTCCATCCCCTGTTCCTGCAGGGAATTCTCGGGCTGGTGTTTGCCTGATGTCATCTGGAGCTCCTGCAGTGTTTTTCCTGTGCAGATGTTGCTGGAAGGAGCCCAGGGAACCTCGTGGGTCTCACAGCCTTGCCCTGGCACCGAGTCCGGGGAGTGGAAACTCAAACTCAGCCCAGGCCTCTCTCCTCATTTCCCCTCTCCTTTTCCCCTGATTTCCCCTCTCCTTTTCTCCTCATTTCCCCTCTCCTTTTCTCCTCATTTCCCTCTTCTTTTCTCCTGGTTTCCCCTCTAATTTTTCCTGATTTTTCCCTTTCCTTTTCTCCCAATTTCCTCTCTCCTTTCCCCTGATTTTCCCTCTCTTTTCTCCTCATTTTCCCCCACCTTTCCCTGTTTTTCCTCTCCTTTTCTCCTCATTTCCTCTCTCCTTTTCTCCTCATTTCCCTCTTCTTTTCTCCTGGTTTCCCCTCTAATTTTTCCTGATTTTTCCCTCTCCTTTTCTCCCAATTTCCCCTCTCCTTTTCTCCTTATTTCCCCTCTCCTTTTCTCCTGATGTTTCCCTCTCCTTTTCCCCTGATTTTCCCTCTCTTTTCTCCTCATTTCCCCCCTCCCTTTCCCTGTTTTTCCTCTCCTTTTCTCCTGTTTTCCATCTCCTTTTCTCCCCATTTCCTCTCTCCTTTTCTCCTCATTTCCCCTCTCCTTTTCTCCTGAATTTCCTCTCCTTTTCTCCCCATTTCCCTCTCCTTTTCTCCTGATTTCCCCTCTCCTTTTGGCTATCAGTTTTAGCCACACCATGCTGTAAATGCCTTCAAGATAATAATCTAAAATTACCCCTTGTGGCTCCTACTACAATGCAACTAATATAATATAATATAATATAATATAATATAATATAATATAATATATTTTTATACTTTATTTATATATATATAAAATATTTTATTATATAAAATTGTTCTATTTCTCCAAAGCATCCAGTTTTATTTTCCAGGCCACCTTTTGAAACTTGTTTCTAATTTCATTTTTCTCTCAACGATGTCTGCCCTATTCAATATCATTTCTAAATCAACATTTCTCATCTCAAAGTTTATATATAAATGTACATTCTGGGAACCTTTTGTTGAGTTTTAAACATTTCCTATTTCCCATTTCCCACGACCTGGCCCTGGATAATCCTGATTTTCCCCACAGGTGCTCCAGTGGCTTCGACCGGTACCGGGAGGAGTGGCTGAGCTACGGCTGCGGCCAGGTGGGCACAGAGAGTCCCAGGCCCAAAAATCCCAGTCCCAATCCCAAAAAATCCCAATAAATCCCAGTCCCAGGCCCAAAAAATCCCAGTCCCAATAAATCCCAGTCCCAGACCCAAAAAGTCCCAATCCCAATAAATCCCAGTCCCAATCCCAAAAAATCCCAATAAATCCCAGTCCCGGTCCCAATAAATCCCAATAAATCCCAGTCCCAATCCTAGCCCAAATCCCAAAAAATCCCAGTCCCAAAAAATCCCCGTCCCAAAAAATCCCCGTCCCAAAAAATCCCAGTCCCAAAAAATCGCAGTCCCAAAAAATCCCAGTCCCAATAAATCCAATAAATCCCAATAAATCCCAGTCCCAATAAATCCCAATGAATCCCAGTCCCAATAAATCCCAATAAATCCCAGTCCCAGTCCCAGTAAATCCCAGTCCCAATAAACCCCAATAAATCCCAGTCCCAAAAAATCCCAGTCTCAGTAAATCCCAGTCCCAATCCCAAAAAATCCCAATAAATCCCAGTCCCAGTCAATCCCAGTCCAAATAAATCCCAATAAATCCCAATAAATCCCAATAAATCCCAGTCCCAATCCCAGCCCCAATCCCAATAAATCCCAGTCCCAGTCCCAATAAATCCCAATGAATCCCAGTCCCAGTCCCAAAAAATCACAGTCCCAATCCCAATAAATCCCAATAAATCCCAATAAATCCCAGTCCAAATAAATCCCAATGAATCCCAGTCCCAATCCTAGCCCCAATCCCAATAAATCCCAGTCACAGTCCCAATGAATCCCAGTCCCAGTCCCAATGAATCCCAGTCCCAATCCCAATAAATCCCAGTCCCAGTCCCAATGAATCCCAGTCCCAATCCCAATCCAAATCAATCCCAATCCCAATCAGTCTCAGTCCCAGTCCCTTCCTGAGGGCAGGGAATGGGGTTGAGCCACCTGAACTCCATGGCCCAGCTCAAAGAATGGCTGTGGGACCCACGGTGCTCTGGATTGGGCTGAGCATCCCTCAGGGTTTCCCTTTATTCCTTTAAGACATCCCTTGGGATTTCCCCTTCTTCCCTTTAGATATCCCTTGGGACTTCCCTTTGGATTTCCCTTTTTTCCCTTTAGATAACCCTGTATTCCCTTCAGATACCCCTTTATTCCCTTTGGATATCCCTTTGGATACCCCTTTATTCCCTTTGGATACCCCTTTATTCCCTTTAGATATTCCCCTGTAGCTCATTCTTTATTGCCCTTAAATATCCCTTTATTCCCTTTACATCCCTTTATTCCCTTTATTCCCTTTATTTTTCCTTTATTCCTATTTTCCCCTTTATTCCCATTATTCCCTTTATTTCCCTTTCCCCGCATTATTCCCTTTATTCCTGTTATTCCCATATTTCCCATTATTCCCATTTTTAATTTTAGTCCCGTTATTCCCATTTTCCCCCATTTCCCCCCATTTTCCCCTTATTCCCATTTTTCCTTTTAGTCCCGTTACTCCCATTTTTCCTTTATTCCCATTTTTCCCTTTCCCCCATTATTCCCTTTATTCCCATTATTCCCATATTTCCCATTATTCCCATTTTTAATTTTAGTCCTGTTATTCCCATTTTTTCCTTTATTCCAATTTTCCCCCATTTTCCCCTTATTCCCATTATTCCTATTTTTCCTTTTGGTCCTGTTACTCCCATTTTTCCTTTATTCCCATTTTCCCTTTATTCCCATTTTTCCCTCTTCCCCCATTTTTCCCTTATTCCCATTATTCCCATTTTCCCTTTATTCCCGTTATTCCCCCTCCTCCTGGAGCGTGACTCTTACTCACTGCAGGCAGGAAGGAACGAGCCCTGTTTGTGTCCCTGGGAGCAAAAACTCACAAGGATCAGCTCTGACCAAACAACATCTGCTTCTGCTTTGGCCTTTTCTCTTTTTTTTTTTTTTTCCCTTTCTTCTCTTTTTTTTTTTTTTTTTAATTTATTTTGTTCCTTATTTTTGTTTGCTTTTTGTGGCTTTTGTTTGTTTGCTTCGATTTTGATGAGGTTTTTTTATTTGGGGTTTTTGTTTTGTTTTTCCCTGGTTTGGTTTGGGGGTTTTTTTGTGGGTTTTTTTTTTTTTTGGTGGGTTTTTTTTGGGTGATTTTTTAGTGATTTTATTCGACTTTTCTACTGAAAATTCAGCTTTATTTCACCAGACCCTTTGAGGTCACTGGACCCACATGGAGTCACCCCGAGGTGCATGAAGGATTTGTCCCAGGGTTTGTCCCCAGGGTTTGTCCCAGGATTTGTCCCAGGATTTGTCCCCAGGATTTGTCCCAGGATTTGTCCCCAGGATCTGCCCCAGGATTTGTCCCAGGACTTGTCCTCAGGATTTGTCCTCAGGATTTGTCCCCAGGACTTGTCCCCAGGGTTTGTCCCAGGATTTGTCCCAGGATTTGTCCCAGGATTTGTCCCAGGGTTTGTCCCCAGGGTTTGTCCCAGGATGTGTCCCAGGATTTGTCCCCAGGATTTGTCCCAGGGTTTGTCCCCAGGGTTTGTCCCCAGGATTTGTCCCAGGGTTTGTCCCCAGGGTTTGTCCCCAGGATTTGTCCCAGGATTTGTCCCAGGATTTGTCCCCAGGATCTGCCCCAGGGTTTGTCCCAGGATTTGTCCCCAGGATTTGCCCTAGGATTTGTCACTTGTCCTGCTGAAATCCTTCCCAAATTTTCCTCCCCTTCTCCTCCCTCTGGGTCACTTCTGTGTTCGAACTTCAGTGTTTGACCCCGCAGAGCCCTCCTGGAATTCCTGCTGGGCAGAACCAGCTCCAAATTCTCCTTTTAACCCAAATTCTCCGTTTTTCCCCCCCAGTCGGATGAAAGGACCTGTGAGGATCTGGCAGAGGGCGGCCGCTACTCGGCGCCCCCGGGCTCCGTGTCCGTGTCGGTGTCACCCGGCGCTGTCACCTCCCCCACGGCCTCGCTCTTCCTCGACAGCCTCACCACTGAAGGTGGGTCCTGGACAGGTGACCCTGGCCCTGGGGGTGTCCCTGGATGGGTGACCCTGGCCCTGGGGGTGTCCCTGGATGGGTGACCCTGAACAACTGAGCCCTGGGAAGGGGATCCCTGAACCCTGGGGGTGTCCCTGGATGGGTGACCCTGGCCCTGGGGGTGTCCCTGGATGGGTGACCCCGGCCCTGGAGGTGTCCCTGGATGGGTGACCCCGGCCCTGGGGGTGTCCCTGGACAGGTGACCCTGGCCCTGGGGTGTCCCTGGATGGGTGACCCCACCCCAGAGAGTGTCCCTGGACAGGTGACCCTGGCCCTGGGGTGTCCCTGGACAGGTGACCCTGCACAACTGAGCCCTGGGAAGGGAATCCCTGAGCCCTGAGAGTGTCCCTGGACAGGTGACCCCGGCCCTGAGCCCTGGGAAGGGAATCCTTGAACCCTGGGGTGTTCCTGGACAGGTGACCCTGGCCCTGAGCCCTGGGAAGGGGATCCCCATCTTTGATCCCAATCCCTGGACAGGTGACCCCAGCCCTGAGAGTGTCCCTGGACAGGTGACCCTGGCCCTGGGAGTGTCCCTGGATGGGTGACCCTGCACCCCTGAGCCCTAGGAAGGGGATCCCTGAACCCTGGGGGTGTCCCTGGACAGGTGACCCCAGCCCTGGGAAGGGGATCCCCATCCTTGATGCCAATCCCTGGACAGGTGACCCCGGCCCTGGAGGTGTCCCTGGATGGGTGACCCTGGCCCTGGGGTGTCCCTGGACAGGTGACCCTGCACAACTGAGCCCTGGGAAGGGGATCCCTGAGCCCTGAGAGTGTCCCTGGACAGGTGACCCCGGCCCTGAGCCCTGGGAAGGGAATCCTTGAACCCTGGGGTGTTCCTGGACAGGTGACCCCGGCCCTGAGCCCTGGGAAGGGGATCCCCATCTTTGATCCCAATCCCTGGACAGGTGACCCCAGCCCTGAGAGTGTCCCTGGACAGGTGACCCTGGCCCTGGGGATGTCCCTGGATGGGTGACCCCAGCCCTGGGGGTGTCCCTGGACAGGTGACCCTGGCCCTGGGGGTGTCCCTGGACAGGTGACCCCGGCCCTGGGGGTGTCCCTTGATGGGTAACCCCACCCCTGAGAGTGTCCCTGGACAGGTGACCCTGCACCCCTGAGCCCTGGCAAGGTGATCCCCATCCTTGATCCCAATCCCTGGAGAGGTGACCCCGGCCTTGGGGGTGTTTCTGGACAGGTGACCCCACATCCCTGAGCCCTGGGAAGGGGATCCCTGAGCTCTGGACAGGTGATCCCCCATCCCTGAGCTCTGGACAGGTGATCCCCCATCCCTGATCCATGGCAAGGTGATCCCCCATCCCTGATCCCAATCCCTGAATGGATGATCCCCCATCCATGATCCTGTTCCCTGTGACAGGAAATCCCATACTTGATCCTGACCCCTGCACAGGTGCCCACCCGTCCCTACTCCCTGGGACAAGTGATCCCCACGCCCCTGAACCCAATCCCCATACAGGTGACTCCCTGACCCCTGGACAGGTCTTTCACCTCCTCAAAAAGCAAATCCAAATGCAAGTAAACACCAGATGAGTTTTGGAGCAGAATCCTGGAATGGTTTGGGTGGGAAGGGACCTTAAATCCCATCCAGTCCCATGGGCAGGGACACCTCCCACCATCCCAGGTGCTCCAAACCCCAATGTCCAGCCTGGCCTGGGACAGGGATCCAGGGGCAGCCACAGCTGCTCTGGAAATTCCACCCCAGCCCCTCCCCACCCAAAATCTTCCCCAAATCCCCAAATCCCAAGTCCATTTCTCCTCCTGGATCTGTGAAGTTCTGCAATCCCAGGAGGATTTGGGTTGGAAGGGACCTCACAGCTCATCCCATCCCCAGGGCAGGGACCCCTCCCACCATCCCAGGGCGCCCAAACCCCGTCCTTGGGCAGGGCTGAGAACAGGAGATGATGGCAAGGGCAGCCAAGAGGTGACACCCGGGGCAGTGAGGCACGCTGGGAAGAGTTTGGGGGTTTTTCCAGCTTTTTTGGGGTTTTTCCAGCTTTTTTTACTCATTTGTGAAGCTCAGCGAGCAACCAAGCCCTGGTGAGGAGAATCCTTGGGATCCTAAAGGGGTCAATCCCAGAGGGAGGGGTTGGGATTTCACTGGTGCCAGGAGTCTCAGCCTGGAATTCCCGCGGTGATCGCTCATTTCTTGGGATTGCTGCTCCACAAAAAGCCCCGATCTCCCCTGGAGACTCCCGGGATCCAAAGCTCCATAATCCCATTAACGCGGGGCCGGCTCCGCCGATCCTGGCGCAGGTAGCGCCGCAATTTGGCTGCTTAATAGTCGCTAACGCAAAGTGCTAATTAGGATAAATAGAAAGGAGCGCTGGTAATTGTCCTTCAGCGCCGGGAAGGAGCTGGGTGGGGGAACGAGCTCCTGCCTGGCAGGGCTGACTTTGAAAGGAGCAATTAAAGGCAGGGAGGGAGGGGAGGGTTGGATCTCCGCCACGAGATTGTTTTCCAGCCCATCGCTGGTTCTTGGAAAAAAGGAGCAAGAGGCTCTGTGTGACACAGAGCATGAAGTTAATTTGTGATCTTGGAAGGGAGCAAACGGCAGCTGCAGCGGGAGGAGAGCGGGGAACAGCAGAGGAGCAGCTCCACCCGAGAGGGGAGCCGGCCCTCGGTGTCCTGTCCAACCAGGCAGGATCCCTGGATCCGTGTCCTGTCCAACCAGCCCTGTTCCCTGGATCTGTGTCCTGTCCAACCAGGCAGGATCCCTGGATCTGTGTCCTGTCCAACCAGCCCTGTTCCCTGGATCTGTGTCCTGTCCAACCAGCCCTGTTCCCTGGATCCGTGTCCTGTCCAACCAGCCCAGATCCCTGGATCTGTGTCCTGTCCAACCAGGCAGGATCCCTGGATCCGTGTCCTGTCCAACCAGGCAGGATCCCTGGATCTGTGTCCTGTCCAACCAGCCCTGTTCCCTGGATCCGTGTCCTGTCCAACCAGCCCAGATCCCTGGATCTGTGTCCTGTCCAACCAGCCCGGATCCCTGGATCTGTGTCCTGTCCAACCAGCCCTGTTCCCTGGTGTGTCCTGTCCAACCAGGCAGGATCCCTGGATCCGTGTCCTGTTCAACCAGCCCGGATCCCTGGATCTGTGTCCTGTCCAACCATCCCAGATCCCTGGATCCGTGTCCTGTCCAACCAGGCAGGATCCCTGGATCCGTGTCCTGTCCAACCAGCCCGGATCCCTGGATCTGTGTCCTGTCCAACCAGCCCGGATCCCTGGATCTGTGTCCTGTCCAACCAGGCAGGATCCCTGGATCTGTGTCCTGTCCAACCAGCCCGGATCCCTGGATCTGTGTCCTGTCCAACCAGGCAGGATCCCTGGATCTATGTCCTGTCCAACCAGCCCAGATCCCTGGATCTGTGTCCTGTCCAACCAGCCCTGTTCCCTGGATCTGTGTCCTGTCCAACCAGGCAGGATTCCCAGATCCACATCCTTTCCACCAGCCCAGATCCCTGGGTCCACCTCCTCACTTTTGAGGATGCTCAAAATCCACTTCCCAAATCCCAAATAAACCCACAGGGTGCTCAAAACCCCCTTCCATTCCTTGGCTCATTCTGGAAGGACCAGGATCCACCAGACCAGGCTTTGTCCCTCAACAGGCTCCACATGATCGCTCTCACCAGAAACCCCGATCCAGAATTCCCAGGGCTTGGATTCCAAACCCTGATCCAGAATTCCCAGGGCTCGAATTCCAAACCCCGATCCAGAATTCCCAGGGCTTGAATTCCAAACCCTGATCCAGAATTCCCAGGGCTTGGCTTGGATTCCAAACCCCGATCCAGAATTCCTGGATCTGTTGTCTTCTCCAGCCAGTCCAGATCCCTGGATCTGAGTCCTCTTCAACCAGCCCAGATCCCTGGATCCTCATCTTTCCCACCATCCCAGATCCCTGGATCCGTGTCCTCCCCAGCCAGCCCCGTTTTTGGATCCACATCCTCCCCAGCCCTTCCAGCCCCCTGGTTCTGCTCCTGGATCAGGGTTTGGAATCCAAGCCAAGCCCTGGGAATTCTGGATCAGGGTTTGGAATCCAAGCCAAGCCCTGCGAATTCTGTATCAAGATTTGGAAGCCAAGCCAAACCTTGGGAATTCTGGATCAAGATTTGGAGGCTGAGCCCTCAGAATTCTGGATCAGGGTTTGGAATCCAAGCCCTGGGAATTCTGGATCAGGGTTTGGAATCCAAGCCAAGCCCTGGGAATTCTGGATCAGGGTTTGGAATCCAAGCCCTGGGAATTCTGGATCGGGATTTCTGGTGAGAGCGATCATGTGGAGCCTGTTGAGGGACAAAGCCTTGTCTGGTGGATCCTGGTCCTTCCAGAATGAGCCAAGGAATGGAAGGGGGTTTTGAGCATCCTGTGGGTTTATTTGGGATTTGGGAAGTGGATTTTGAGCATCCTGTGGGTTTATTTGGGATTTGGGAAGTGGATTTTGAGCACCCTGTGGGTTTATTTGGGATTTGGGAAGTGGATTTTGAGCATCCTGTGGGTTTATTTGGGATTTGGGAAGTGGATTTTGAGCACCCTGTGGGTTTATTTGGGATTTGGGAAGTGGATTTTGATCATCCTGTGGGTTTATTTGGGATTTGGGAAGTGGATTTTGAGCATCCTGTGGATGTTTTTGGGTGCAGATTCCACAGGCTGAGCAGGGACACCCAGTGTTGGATCCAAGCTCCCACGGGGAGCAGAACAACCCCTCGACCCCTTCCTGGGGACATTTGTGCCCCAGGTGCCACCTCAGAGGAGGAACCCACACCCCACACCCTGCTCAGCCCCCAGCCTTTTCCTGGTGCTTCCCTTTCCCACAGAGATTTAAAACTGCCCAGAGATCCCATCCTGGGGGGAGGAATTGGGTGGGAAGCACCAGGATATCACTGAAAGCCGATTTTCTGTTTTGCTGTGTTTTCTCCTCTCAGATGACACCAAACTCAACCAGTTTGCAGGAGGAGAGGGTAAGGAAGGCCTTTATCCCTCTCCCTGCTCCAGGGGAACTCAGAATTCCCTGGGTTTGGGTACACGGGGCTGTGGGGAGCACAGGGACCCCAGAGTGATCAATTCCTGTTGTCCTCACCCCAAATAGTGCAGTTCGAGCCAGTGAAAAAAGCTGGGAATGCTGTGGTATCCCAATGAGAGTTTTTTATTGTCTGAATTATTTTATTATTTTTTGTTTTAATTACATTTTTATTATATTTTATGATATTTTATTGTTATTGATTTATGTGGTTTTGATTTAGGGGGTTTCGTTACTAATTATTATATTATTATTATATTATATAATATATAATATATATTATTATAGTAATTATTATATTATTATTTTATTATTGATTATTTTTATTACTATGGGTTTTTTATTTATTAGTGAAAAGAGTTATAGTTATACTTAGTTTAGGGCTTTTTTTAAAACAATTTTTTGGTAATATTTTGTGATTTGGATAAGGAATAGAACAAATACTTGAATAAATTTAATAATGTATTTTTTAATTTGTAAATTTTAAAAATTTGTCCTTTTAAATTTTTGATTTTGTAAATGTTAGTAAATTTTAATTTTAAATCTTTAATTTTGTCAATTTCACTAATTTTTAATTTTAGATCTTTAATTTTGTAAATTTCACTAATTTTTAATTTTAAATTTTATAAATATTTTTAAATTTTAAATTTCATTTAATGCATTTTAAGAAATTTTTAATTTTAAGTTTTGTACATAATTTTGTATTTTAAATTTTGAATTTTATAAATGTTAAGGATTTTTAAATTTTAAATGTTGTAAATAGTTTTGTATTTTAAATTTTGTAAATATTTTAATATTTTAAATTTTGTAAATATTTTAATATTTTAAATTTTGTAAATAGTTTTAAATTTTAAATTTTGTAAATATTTTTAAATTTTAAATTTTGTAAATGTTTTTAAATTTTAAATTTTGTAAATAGTTTTAAATTTTAAATTTTGTAAATAGTTTTATATTTTAAATTTTGTAAATAGTTTTAAATTTTAAATTTTGTAAATACTTTTAAATTTTAAATTTTGTAAATAGTTTTATATTTTAAATTTTAAATGTTGTAAATTAAACCAAAATTAATGTAACAATTTTCTGAAAGCCTCCTGACCTTTGCTATCCCCCAGGGAGCAGCCTGCCCTCTCGGGGCGCGGGTGCCCCGATCCCCACGGGCACCGTGGTTGGCATCGTGGTGGCCGTGCTGGTGCTGGCCGGGGCCATCCTGGCCGGGATCTACATCAGCGGCCACCCCACGTCCAGCGCCGCCCTCTTCTTCATCGAGGTGAGCCAGCAGCTCAGCCCTGCTGATCAGGGAATCCTCCCATCCTCCTCATCCTCCCCCTCTCCTGGGCCTGGGTCCTCCTCAGCCAGCCCAGATCCCTCAGTCTGTGATCCTGGATCTGTGTCCTCTCTACCATCTCAGATCCCTGGATCTGTGTCCTCTCCACCATCTCAGATCCCTGGATCTGTGTCCTCCCCACCACCTCAGATCCCTGGATCTGTGTCCTCTCCCCCATCTCAGATCCCTGGATCTGTGTCCTCTCCACCATCTCAGATCCCTGGATCTGTGTCCTCTCCACCATCTCAGATCCCTGGATCTGTGTCCTCTCCACCACCTCAGATCCCTGGATCTGTGTCCTCCCCACCACCTCAGATCCCTGGATCTGCATCCTCTCCACCATCTCAGATCCCTGGATCTGCATCCTCTCCACCATCTCAGATCCCTGGATCTGTGTTCTTCCCCTGTCTCAGATCCTGTGATCATGGATCTGTGTCCTCTCCACCATCTCAGATCCCTGGATCCACATCCTCCCCACCCAAGATCCCTGGATCTGCGTCTTTCCCCCATCCCAGATCCCTGGATCCGTGATCCTGGATCTGTGTCCTCTCCACCACCCCAGATCCCTTGATCTGTGCCCTTTCCCTATCTCAGATCCCTGGATCCACATCCTCCCCATCTCAGATCCCTGGATCCATGTCCCTCCCACCATCTTAGATCCCTGGATCTGTGATCCATGATCCTGGATCTGTGTCCTTCCCCATCTCAAATCCCTGGATGCACATCCTCCCCACCACCTCAGATCCCTGGATCTGTGTCTTCCCATCTCAGATCCCTCAATCTGTGATCCTGGATCTGTGTCCTCTCCACCACCTCAGATCCCTGGATCTGTGTCTTTCCCCCCATCTCAGATCCCTGGATCCATTTCCTTCCCATCCAGTGAGATCCATGCATTCCTAAGAATCCTTTTGAAGCATGAAACAACATTTTAAAATTCACTTTTATCACTGAAAATGCTCACACTGACAGTGCCCTTTGTGCCCAGGACTCTTTCCCCCATTCTTTTCCCCCCATTCTTTTCCCCCCATTCTTTTCCCCCCATTCTTTTTCCCCCATTCTTTTTCCCCCATTCTTTTTCCCCCATTCTTTTTCCCCTATTCTTTTTCCCCCATTCTTTTTCCCCATTTTCCCCCCATTTTCCTCCCATTTTCCCCCATTTTTCCCATTATTCTCCCCCATCATTTTCTCCCCATCATTTTTCCCCCCCATTTTCCCCATTATTTCCCCCCACTATTTTCCCCCCATTTTTCTCCCCATTTCCCCCCCATTTTCCCCCATCATTTCCCTCCCATTTTCCCCCGTTATTTTCCCCATTTCCCCCATTTTCCCAGCAGGAACTGGGGCTCGGGGCCCTGTCCCAGCCGCTCACCTGCCCCTGTTTCTGTCCCCAGCGGCGGCCGCACCGCTGGCCCGCCATGAAATTCCGGAACCACGGCAACCACGGCTCCTACGCCGAGGTGGAGGCGGCCAGCCAGGAAAAGGAGGGGTTTGTGGAGGCCGAGCAGTGCTGAGCGCTTCTCCTGGGGAATCCATCCCGAGGGATCCTGACAAATCCCGAGGAATCCATCCCGAGGAATTCTGAGGAATCCTCGCAAGGAACCCTGACAAATCCTGAGGGATCCATCTCGAGGAATCTTGAGGGATCCATCCCAAGGAATCCTGACAAATCCTGGGGGATCCATCCCAAGGAATCCTGAGGAATCCATCCCAAGGAATCCTGAGGAATCCCAAGGAATCCATCCTGAGGAATCCTCACAAATCCTGAGGGATCCATCCCAAGGAATCCTGACAAATCCTGAGGGATCCATCCTGAGGAATCCCAAGGAATTCATCCTGACAAATCCCAAGGAATCCATCCCGAGGAATCCTGACAAATCCTGAGGAATCCATCGCAAGGAATCCTGACAAATCCTGAGGGATCCATCCTGAGGAATCCCAAGGAATTCATCCTGATGAATCCTGACAAATCCCAAGGAATCCATCGCGAGGAATCCATCGAGGAATCCCAAGGAATCCATCCCAAGGAATCCTGAGGAATCCCAGGGAATCCATCACAAGGAATCCTGACAAATCCTGAGGAATCCATCCTGAAGAATCCCAAGGAATCAATCCCAAGGAATCTCAAGGAATCCATCCTGAAGAATCCTGAGGAATCCCAAGGAATCCCAAAGAATCCATCCTCAGGAATCCGGAGGAATCCATCCCAAGGAATCCCAAGGAATCCATCCCGAGGAATGCCAAGGAATCCATCCCAAGGAATCTTGACAAATCCCAAGGAATCCATCCTGAGGAATCCTGACTAATCCCAAGGAATCCATCCCAAGGAATCCCAAGGAATCCATCCTGAGGAATCCTGACAAATCCCAAGGAATCCATCCCAATGAATCCCAAGAAATCCATCCTGAGGAATCCATCCCAAAGAATCCTGAGGAATCCACCCTGAGGAATTCTGAGGAATCCTTCTCAAGGAATCCTGAGGAATCCCGAGCCTGCCGTGTCCCAAAGTGCTGGAATCACTTAATTATTTTGCTAAATTGTTAAATGCGGCCCTTGGCCCTGAAGGAGACAGAGAGAAGGGGAAATAAATCTGAAATTCCACCAAAATTCATCTTCTGATGGCCAGTGGGAACAGAGAGGGATTTAGGGACAAAACTCTGGGATAAATCCTGGGCTAAATCCAGGATTCAGATCCGTGAGGAGTGCCTGGACATCACAGGAAACCTCAGAATCACCCCCTTAACCACATCATTTTTAGTTTTTTTTCTAATTTTGCTTCCATTTCCCCCTGTCTGGGCCGAGCCCCTGGCTTTGGATGGATATTGGCACCCCCTGACCCCAAGGGAGGCTTTGACTCGGGACCTCTCAGCGCTTTCTCCTCCTCCTGTGCCACCAAAATTCAGCATTCACCTGCAAAATAATCCCTAAACTGAAGCACAAAGCAAAACCAGAATCCCAAATCCAGCAGGAGGTAAATTTTCATTCCCCCACCACAAAATGCTGTTGCATTATGGATTTTTTTCCCCCCCTTAATTTTTAATTTTCTCCTGCTCCTCAGCTATTTATTCTGATAATCAAATTTTGGGTGTATTTTATCCCCTGGCTGGCTCAGCTGTCACTGCTGGTGATTAGTGCCACAGGCAAGGTCTGTCTAATTAATATTTTCCTTCTCATCTGCTGAATTTATGGAACAATTACAGATAAATATGGATGTTTGGTGGCACTCAGACCCCAAATTCGACTTTCTTGCAGCCCCTGGGGAGTTTTTTTGCTGCATTTTATGATATAAAACCACCAAAATGCTCAAGCTGAGTCGTGATCATGCCCCAGACTTGGAAGTTTTATTCCCAAATCAACAATTTCCCTAAAAATTGGTTCTTTCCCCAGAGTGGGGAGGAAAAGGGAATTTATCACCCATTTTTTTACTCCGAATCTGATCTCCTTTGGCACGGTGATGAGTTAATGTGGGTTTTTCTCGGAATTTCACTTTTTTCCAATGGTTAAATTTTGAATTATTAATTCCCATAGTTTTAGGCCTGGTTTTTCCTGTTTTTCTGCACATGGGAACAGCAAGATTTTGGGTTCTTCTCTTCCCCCGCAGCCCCTGGAACTGCTGGGAAACATCCAAGAGTTCTGAAATGCCACAGATTTAAAGAAAAACAGATTTTTAAAGAGCAAGAATTGTACTCGTCCCTGGGGTTTGTGCTGCAGTTGGGATTTTGGGAGAAAATCCGGATTTAGGGAAGGATTCAGGTGAGAAATCCTTCAAATATAAAAAAAAAATCACTTCAAGGTCATTCATAACCTGAGACCTCTGGGCATAATTTCACATCCAGGCTTCCTTTTCTTTTTTAAATATGTTTATTCCCATTAGAAAAATAAATAATAAATCTATTTTTTCCCATTTTCCCTTTCACCCTGTTCATCCCTCTTTTCCTCCAGGCTGGCAGAAGCTGTGCTAACAATGCAAACAGGTAGGAGTTAATTTAATTTAATCAGGATTAAAGAATTCTCCCATCCTGGTGCCTTTTTCTATTTCTCTCGAGCGGAGAAGCAGCAGATCTGCAATCAGAGATAGAAATATTCCACTTTTATATCAATATTCCAATTTTTTACAATAAATTCCATTCACATCCACACACATAAACCACCGATTTTAATAGAAGGTAAAGAACAGTTTGAAAATCTGTCAAAAAAAAAGATTTCCTCACCAAACAACACCCCCCAAAATAGGGGAAAAATCACCTCAGCCATGCAAATAAACACAGATTTTTACCCTGGAAATGCAACCCCAGGTCCAAAGCAGCATCTTGAGCCATAATTAACAGCCCTGACAGCAAGGAGGGAGCAGATTGCTCCAGCAGGGCCCGTGGGTGGAGGAATAAAACCTCAAATAGATGCTCTGAATCTGCATTTTCCAGGCAGAGCTCAGCTCTGGGTGCGAGTGGGAGCAGGGAATTTGGGTATTAAATGGATTTATTGTGCCTCACTCAGCAGGGAGGGATGGGAATGGTTCCATTTCTTGCAAAGAACCTGGGAGTTTGCTGGGGGTTTTTTTTTAGGGGGGGATATTTGCAGGGAAAAGGTGTTTTTAAGGCAGGGTGGAATCACCTGGAGCTGATTTTTCCACTCCCAAAAGGCAGGAATGGGATGAGGAGAGGGCAGAATCCCAGGGTGGGATAATTACCACCACAATCCCCCCAAAAAATAGATTTAAAGGAGCAGGAAACTCCTGCACATTTCCCTTCAGCTGCCACCAGAGGATCCTGGAATCACCTTTGTCTCCCCCCACAATTTTCCTGGTGAGGAAAAACCAAATTCTGAACATTTTTCATTTATTTTTCCTCCATTTCCCCTTTATTTTTCTCCCCTTTCCTCTTTTTTTCACCCAGCAAATCCCATTGTGTAGCAAGTGGGTCAGGCCAGGCTGGAATTTTTCCCCATTTCCAGGAAAACTCAGCTTAAATTTTTCCCTCCTCGATTTCAGCCATCAAACATTGACAGGAGCTTTTGCTAAATTTTTAAAAAAGCTGACAAAACCTCCAGCATGTGCTGGCAGAACTCATGTAAACCCTTTTTTTTTTCTTTTTTTTTTTTCCTGCAAAGAGATGACATCACTGAGGAAAAAGGAGGAAAAAAACCTTTGAAATTTGCTTTTTTTCAGGGCTTCAAGGAGCAGGTTTGGAAGGATAATTGTGGGTTTGGTGCTCTGTGAGGAGCTGCAGGCAGGTTCCTTCCTGGGGCTGCCCTTGAGGGTTTTTTTCCATGATTCCTCCTGCTTGATGGAGGATTTTTAACTCCTCCAGCTGAGGAGGGGACTTCCAGAATAAAGAGAAAACCCAGAATAATGAGAAAACCCCAGAATTCCAGAATAATAAGAAAAAACAGAATTCCAGAATTAAGAGAAAATCCAGAATTCCAGAATAATAAGAAAAAACAGAATTCCAGAATAAAGAGAAAAAACAGAATTCCAGAATAAAGAGAAAACTCAGAATAAAGAGAAAACCCCAGAATTCCAGAATAATGAGAAAACCCCAGAATCCCAGAATAATGAGAAAACTCAAAATTCCAGAATAATAATAAAAAACAGAATTCCATAATAAAGAGAAAACCCAGAATAAAGAGAAAATCCAGAATTCCAGAATAACGAGAAACCCCAGAATTCCAGATAATGAGAAAACCCAGAATCCCAGAATAATGAGAAAACAGAGAATTCCAGAATAATAAGAAAACCCAGAATTCCACAGTAAAGAGAAAACCCAGAATAAAGATAAAATCCACAATTCCAGAATAATGAGAAAAACCAGAATTCCAGAATAATAAGAAAAAACAGAATTCCAGAATAATAAGAAAAAACAGAATTCCAGAATTAAGAGAAAATCCAGAATTCCAGAATAATAAGAAAAAACAGAATTCCAGAATTAAGAGAAAATCCAGAATTCCAGAATAATGATAAAACCCCAGAATTCCAGAATAATGAGAAAACAGAGAATTCCAGGATAATGAGAAAACCCAGAATTCCAGAATAATGAGAAAACCCAGAATTAAGAGAAAACCCAGAATTCCAGAATAATAAGAAAAACCAGAATTCCAGAGTAAAGAGAAAATCCAGAATAAAAAGAAACCCCAGAATCCCGGAATAATGAGAAACCCCAGAATCCCGGAATAATGAGAAAACCCAGAATTCCAGAATCATAAGAAAAAACAGAATTCCAGAATTAAGAGAAAATCCAGAATTCCAGAATAAAGAGAAAAAACAGAATTCCAGAATAATGAGAAAACCCAGAATAATGAGAAAACCCCAGAATTCCAGAATAATAAGAAAAACCAGAATTCCAGAATTAAGAGAAAATCCAGAATTCCAGAATAATGAGAAAACCCCAGAATTCCAGAACAAAGAGAAACCCCAGAATTCCAAAATAATGGGAAAACACAGAATTCCAGAATAAGAAAAACCAGAATTCCAGAATAATGAGAAACCCCAGAATTGCAGAACAAAGAGAAAACCCAGAAT